GTGAGAAATATCAGGATAGAATAGATGGTTGCATCTAGCTAGTTTAACAGTAAAATGGTAAGACCTAGTTACCAATCTAGTAGTAGGCTTAATTTCATGCTGTTAAAAAGCTAATCAGAACAGTTACTATGAAAGTATTTGCAGAAAAAAAAAACAGAGGGAGACATTAGTGAGAAAGCAACTGATGTCAAGATGCTAAGTCAGGATCAATTACATTAGAGAATTCTTTGAACTGTGTCAAAAATCTATGTAGTAGGAGCATCTGAGCAGATACGCTAGCAGTATTCAATTGCTGAAATCGTGTCTTATGTTCCAAACACTTCTGGCCATTGTTGGTTATTTTCAAGGAAAGGAGTTAGTTTTTCAAAAGACAGCCAATCAAATTCACAGATCAGCAGTAATGATCAATCAGCCTAGACTTGCTAATTATTAATCCATGCTGGGTTGATTTTATGGCATATCAGTTATTGTTGGGCTATCCAATGTCAAATTTTGCCTGGCAAACCCTATGAGAATCACACTAGGTTCACTAATCATTACCCTACACCAAGGTTTGAAACTGAATTGAAGAACAACTTAATGGAAGATCCACAAACTGATAGCAGCAGATTTCTAACAAGCTGTTCTATGAGAATTGCAAGATATAAAGCTTAAAATAAACTTACCCCCCAAAAAAAAAACAAAACTTCCTGAAATGAAGAGCCCAGCCCCAGCATCTAATTCAATAATAAAATGCCTATTTCTGAATAATATGAAACTCTATTCTGGTTTTTATTATATCTTTTTTAAGGAAATTTATCTAAGTATTTTTCAGCAGATATTTTCTGTAGCAAACAAACACATTCCTTGGAACCAAAACTTGTAAAGAAAATAACAACTGCAAAAAAGCTGTGAATATGCTCATGATAAACAGCTGACAACCTGAAAGGATAATTGAAGGATCCCCAGTAACCAAGACGTAAGTAAAATAAGTTTAGAAACAGAATCAATATAAGATGTTAGTCATGAAAAACAGATAGTTAATGTCATTGGTGAATGAAACTCTAAGAACTTATAGGATAAAGGGATTTGGTAAAAAGAAAAAAAAATTAATATCCTCACTTTTGTCTTGAATTTACATAGATGAGAACCAATACTTAAAGCTTCAGTGGCTTCTAAGAAATCCTTTTAGATATTGTTAATGGAAATTTATAGATGTATAGACAAAAACTGAAACTTTTGATCCAAAGAAAGAAAAGTAAGCAAAAGAAATGAAAGAAAAAAACTAAGATTTTTGATGACATCCGTTTTTCTTTATTATTCATTTATTTTTGATCAGGGCAGTTCAGGACGGCTTTTTAAGAAAGAAAATAAAAAATATTATAATCGTCAACTAAAGATCTCAAATATATTATATCATCATGAAAGGCAGCCAAAAATAGCTCAGTTACTAGTGGATGGTGAAAAATTTGTGAACTAACTCATTTCAACAAAATCTGACCAAATGACTAAACATCAAAATTTTCTCTCAGAAGAGCATCTTGGTCAAGCAGAAAACCTTTCAGCACCCAATCATATATATATATATATATATATATATATATATATATATATATGCTCTTCATTAATGAATTGAGCCCTCTGGCTGCTGGCATTTTTATACATCTGTCTATAAGACATTAAAATTTCCCTTTCTCTGCTGTACACCAATAGTTTAGGGGTAGAATCTCTGACTGATGCAAAATCGGTTAGGTTTTGATCCCACCTTGAAGCAATTGGATGTCTAGCTACACTAATGAGCTGTGATACAGTGAACGGGCTTGTATGTGGATGACTATATATATATATATATATATATACACACAGACAGAGCATGCAATGGGTATATAGTTGCCATTTTTTATTTTGCATAAGTGCATTGTTTGTTTGTGATTTTGTTGATTACACAGTATAGTAGGGTCATTTGGGAATTATCTAAGAAAAAAGCACCATGCCGCAATTCACTCCAACAGAAAGTTAGAAATGGCATGCTGTACTACTTGGCATTCATGCCAGAAGCTCCAATATGAACATTTCTGAGAGATTGGGTGTCAATCTGAGGACAATGCAAAGGATTTGGAAAGAGTTGGATGAGTCTAATGGTGATTATGAAAGTGTTTGGAGTGATCACTAGTGATGGCCATGTTATGCCACCATTCATCTTCCCACAGAGGCTTACATAAATATATATATATATATATATATATAAGTGAATATACATAATATCCAACATCAGTAGCATGACTGAGTTTCATGCAGTTTTGCAATCTTCAGGTGCTGAGCATATGTGCGTATATGTATTTTTTTATTGTATATATGTGTGTGTGTCAACAGCAGTTAATGTAGGACATATAAATACATCCCCAGCAATGGCAATGCTCAGAAAACTAACTACACACATATATGGCAGTGTTTGTTGTTGAAACAAAACCGGATTAATTGCACACAAAGCAAGGTGGGTCCTACCTGACAAAGGATTTATCATAATGATTTGACACACACATGGTAGTCCAAATTCACTAAGTGTTTTTATTGAGATGCCATCTCAAGGAAGGTTGCCATTCAAGGCTTATATATTCTTATATATATCAAAACAATAAAACACACGTCACACATTTCTTATGTTATAAGAACCATTGCTTTTTTTCACTAGTTCTACAAAACTCATCATTTGTCTCTATGTACCATGATGATTTAAAGTGAAACCTGTGGACCATATTTCTTCCAAAATAAACTTTGGGCAATTTCTGACAGAATCTCCTTATCTGAGGATTATTCATAATTTGGAAAATTCAATCATTAAAATTAAATCAACAAAAAATGTATGTTGTCTTTAATGAAATTTGCCTGAAAGAACATTTGCTGCCTAAATACACAGTGTATATATATATGTATATGTGAAACTGAATCTTCAAAATCATATACTTGCAAAATCTCCATTCAAGACCTAACTAATTACACTAATATCAAACACTGACTCTGGGTGAATATAAAGCCATTATTCACCCACCCACTTCAACACCAACAATCTAAGTCTTTCAATGATTGGGACACAGTTTCAACATTTACTTTTCTGCTTCAGTTAAACAAAAATAAAGACTAGTTCTGAACTGTTGAGCTCTTCATCTCCATTATATAAAGTCAACACTAGAAATTATTATGGCAGACAGTTCATAACAGATATAAATAAATAGCACAAAACTCTGCCATATTGGCATTTATCAATTTGGGTGAAAGGTGATTAGCAATTATTGAAGGTAAACATATGAAGGCTTCTTTTGAAAGTTAAAAGAAACCTAAATTGTTTGATGTGACTTTCCACAAGAAGTTAGAACAAATCCCCAAAGATCATGTTCCATGCATCGGCTTGTTCCAGAATCTCAGATGGCACAAGTGTGGAATATGTAGCCATGTTCAGTGTTGGTCTGAGAAAATCCTTGCCATCTGCAGTGAATCAGTGGAGAGAGAGAGAGCAAAGACAAGAAGAACATTTTCCAGGAAACCCCAAAGGAAATCGGAAGAATCAAAATGATAGAGCAAAAGTACAGAGTAGAAATTCACTTGAGGATTTGTCCGATAGAGGAAGGGGTAATTAATTGCTTAACAGATAAGTGATAAAAGATTTTCCTCTGAAATGGACATGGAAGAAGCAAAGTATAAAAAGCATTGTGAACTTAAGAACTAAGCTAACTGCATAAAGTGTGAGCATATTTTTGCCTTTTTGCTTCAATATACAATTCTTGTTATTTTGAAACAAAAGTTGTCCTTTGTCATAGTTATTTCGTAACAAACAAATTTCTTATTAATTTGAACTTTAAATATGAAAATGACCCAATTTCTGCTTGTGGGTTTGTCTGTTACTGGAACACATGAATAAAGAACACAATGCAGTAAGAATTTTGATATGAACATTTTAACTGTATTGCCCGATCTTAAAAAATAAAGCATTTTCTTGCTCAGTTTTTCAACATGTTAATAGCATAGTATCAGCATTCATGTTCACCCCAATAATACTGATTTGATTTGTGTGTGTTACAAAACTGAAAAGAAAATCATATCAACAATGAAAGAGAGGAAAAAATATTGAAAGATTACTAATTGCTATATAAATTAGTTATACTTGTTTTTTTTTATTTTAATCATTTCACTCCGAGCAAGGTAGTAAAGCCACTAAGACACAAGGAGTTACTGTGTGTGAAAAGATAAGAGAAACATTACTAATGAGTGAGAATAATAGAAGACTAACCAAGAAGAAAGTGGATTTAAATTTTTGAAGACCAAAGTTGACTGGAAAGCAAGAAACCGGAAGAGTGTTCCACAAGTGAGAAGTGCGAGAAAAGAAACTGTTAACATAGAACTTATATCTAATCAATTTAAATTGATGAGACCTTGTTGCCAATCTGGTACTGTGCTTAAATTCATAAAGTTTAGGTACAAGAGAAAAAAAGTTCATCAGAATAATTTATTTTGTAAAAAGAAAGTATCTTTATTAGATATTTTTATATAGAAGTTTTTTATTTTATTTTAATACAATTACACATTTTACAAGCATCAATTATAAATTATTGCCTTCCTTACTTCCATCATGAACAGTTTCACACTTAATCAAAAAATAATTTTACAATGTGGCAATCATGAGTGAGTTAAAAATCCTACAATCTGACCAAGATAAGCAGATGATACAGTGTTGATAGTAGAAAAAAAAAGGAAAAATACAGAAGCTCCTACAGACGTTAGTAAAGGAAAGTGAGAAGAAAGGACTAGACATCAATTGTAAGAAGGCACAATGTATAGTTGTCTGCAGAAGTAAAATGTAAATTATGAATCTTTCTCAGTAAATGTGATTTCTCTACCTACCAATATCTTATAATTGTGTGTCCATTCCTTCTTTAGCATCTATGTTATGTCCTGTCAATACCTCATGCATAATGGACTATTCAGTTTTGATCATTTGGAAAGATGGAAAAGACATATTAGAGATGCTACTTGATTTCAGTGAAAGAAGGAAAGAAAGAAAAAAGCAAAGAAAGAAAAAGAAAGAAAAAAGCAAAGAAGGAAAGAAAAAAAAAAAAAAGGAAAGAAAAAAAGAAAAAAAGAGGAAAAAGAAAAAAGAAAGAAAGAAGAAAAAGGAAAGAAAGAAAAGGAAAGAAAAAGAAAAGGAAAGAAAGAAGAAAAAGGAAAGAAAGAAGAAAAAGGAAAGAAAGAAAAAGAAAAGAAAGAAAGAAGGGAGGAAAAAAGGAAAGAAAGAAAGAAGGGAGGAAAAAAGGAAAGGGAGGAAAAAAGGAAAGAAAGAAAAAGGAAAGAAAGAAAAGGAAAAGAAAAGGAAAGAAAGAAAGAAGGGAGGAAAAAGGAAAGAAAGAAAAAGGAAAGAAAGAAAAAAGGAAAGAAAAAAGGAAAAAAAAGGAAAGAAAGAAAAAGGAAAAAAGAAAAAGGAAAAGAAAAAAAAGGAAAGAAAGAAAAAGGAAAAGAAAGAAAAAGGAAAGAAAGAAAAAAGGAAAGAAAGAAAAAAGGAAGAAAGAAAAAGGAAAAAAAGAAAAAGAAAGAAAGAAAAAGGAAAAGAAAGAAAAAAGAAAAAAAAAAAGGAAAGAAAAAAAAAGGAAAGAAAGAAAAAAAGAAAGAAAGAAAAGAAAGAAAGAAAAAAGGAAAGAAAGAAAAAAGGAAAGAAAGAAAAGAAAAACCAGGAAGAAAGAAAAGAAAGAAAGAAAAAAGGAAAGAAAGAAAAAAGGAAAGAAAGAAAAAAGGAAAGAAAGAAAAAAAAGGAAAGAAAGAAAAAAAAGGAAAGAAAGAAAAAAAGGAAAGAAACACTCTATTAATGCCTCATAAATCATGGACTGTTTCTTTTTCATTGCAAGGAAAGACATATCAGAAACAATTTGATTTCAGTGAAAAAAGAAACAAAACAAAATTCAAGCAGGAAAGGCATGACATCTTAAGTGGTACGACTAGTAGGTATAAATTTGCATATAGAAGATGCATACAATATTAAAAAAATATCATTTAATAGTAGACTCATGCTAATTAGGGATTAGAAAGAGTACAAATAAAGCATTGTGTCTCCTAAGGATGTAGGCAATCATGGCTCTTCACAGCTTTCTGTAATTTGTCACTAAGAAACATTTGTCTCTTTAGCACCCCTAGCTCCTAGTCTGTAATACATTTACATAAATTTATTAGGTAGATTATTTGCTGTTCTCTTCTGCCTCTCTTGTCTTCAATATGTCCTGTGAGTGCTAAATTCTCCAAGCCCACTTTCCTTGTTACGTATTCTAGAAATTTCAAATATCTCTTGCTGATTCTTAAGTTTCCCTTCTGTTTCCATTTTCTTTAGAACTTCCTCATTGCTCACATGTTCCAGCCATGGTATTCACAGCATTTTTCTGTAGAACCACATCTGTTGGCTTATGTCTTCTCTTCTTCTGTGAAGAAATTGTCTAGTATTAAATGTCATATAGGAAAATAGATATTATACAACAGTTCAGCAACTTTTTTTTTGTACCTAGGGATATTTTCCTATTTTGTAATACTTTACTTAGTTTCCAGAAGGCACCTTTCACTATTCAAATGCATTTTCAGATTTCTGTGTTTCATTTTCCATTGTCTGTTATGGCACTAACCAAAGAGGTATAATTCTGTACCTGATGTTTTCATTTTATACCTCACACCTTAAACTGACCCTCTTACTGTGAACACACCAGGCATTCAGTTAATAAGTCCTTTCTTCTTGTTTTTCTTTACTACATTGTCTAAGAGTACTTTATGTTTTCTGAGTCTGCCATCAATACAGTGTTATCTAATGACATTTTCCTGTCTCTAAATACTTTGCTTAGTTTTTACAAGGCATCATTCACTCTTCCTATGAACCTTCAGATTTCTGCACCACATTTTCTATTGTCTGTTACAACACTACCCAGATAATTATACTTCTGTACCTGATCTTAGCATTAAATTCTAAATAACGTTGGAGTTTAACTAATTACAGATCATCTCCATTTATTTTTGCATTTGCAAAGCATTTAATTCTGCTTGCTTCCATTAGAAAGTTAGCATGTGCATTATGTGCTGCCATCAGATAAACAATAGACCATTCTGTTTACATTGCAAGGTAAGATGGTAAAGACGTAGCAGAAATGCTTTTGGTTTCAGTAAGAAAAAGAAAGAAAGAGAACATAGAGGAGGTGATAATGCTCTCATGTTTTTAATGTTTGCTTCAGTGAAATGGAAAAACTTGTTAATTTTAAATCTTTTCATTTGTACCCTCTTCTTAAAAGTAATGATCAGTATTTGTATATATGATTGCTGTAGTAATATTTCATTGGAGTTGTTGAGCTCAAATATTTAACAATGCAATAGGTATATGATATTCGTGGAACTCACAAGGGGCTTATTCAATCAGTAAATTAAGAATTGATTCATCAAAAATATTCCAATAGGGAAACTAAAATTTTCATAGGTACTGCTAGTTATAATTTACAGTCAATATAAATAAAAGTGACTTGACATCATGCTTAAAGGCCACCTTTTGCAGCCAATGAACCAAATATATCCAACAGTAAAAGAAACTTGCAGAGACTCACAATAACTTGATGTCTTGAATTATTTTGATTCATCAACAATAGAAATATAGTTAAAAGGACTGTGATGCCAGAAAAAAATTGAAATTATAATCAGAAGTCTGCAAATTGTATTTCTGAAGTCAGTCAACATCAACTTGGACTTTCTTACTGGAATGCATAAATTAAAAAAGTTTATTATTATACTAAATGTTCATAGAATACAAAGCCCAAGAGCTACTCAAGGTAGAGGATGACTGAATGAGATTGTTGTATGGCGGAAGTAAATGCAGATTAGGAGGATATGCAGGATACATAAGAATTGGTAATAAACTTGAAGAGGATACAATTGTAGCAATTGGAGAAGCAGACTCTAGGGCAGAGATGGCAAATTACTGACCCACCAACAACTTTTTAGTTACCCACAAGGTGTCAGTGAAAGGACATCATGAAATAAGGTTCCCCATGGACTATATAAAATCAACCACCAGGAATTGCCTTGGTATGGATATGAGTGCTGCATGCATTAAGCTTAAGACAGCAAAGTATAAATCTCAAATTTAAACATTAGCAACTGTGATGCAGCAACAAGTTTCTCATTAAAAATATATTGGTAAGCATGTGTTATAATCTAGGGAAGGTTACTGAACAGAATAATCACACAAAGGGTGGTAATGAACGATAATACTTAGGACAAGAACAACACATATAAGATTCACCAGCAGCTTGTAGAAGAAGTAATCAACTACATTCTGTAGAAGTCAAGTGACTTACCTGCCAACATGGCTGCCTTCTTCTGTTTCATTGTAAAGCAAGCCAGCTGATTTTACCTCATTTTATAGGAGAGTGCCTAATACACCAGTTAGGTTGGTCCATTTTGCTAGAATGGACCTGACCAATACATTTGCATGGGTGGTCTTTATTCACCCATATATCTCTCCATGAAATGACTCAAGTCAGTCTGAGCTTTGGCTACACTTGGCTACTTGTGTGTTAGACCACTGGCAAGCTAACCAATATTCTACACATTCTACAATGAACTTCAGCTTCAGGCCAACATACAGTATTTACTACTGTATTTATATGAATGGGGACATAACCATTATTGTCCGTAGGTATGCTACAACAGTATGAGTGACCCATTTATGTTTATGAAAAATTTAAATATACCAAAAATGGTGCAGCAACTATAAAGGCTTGCCATCTTTGCTCTAGTGTGTGCGTTATTGGAAAGAATCACTCTTAGTGGAACTTCTTACCAATGGAATACAAAAGTAATGGGGATGATTTCACTATATATGGCATGGCAGGGTGTATCTGTAAAAGGTCTGTACTGGTGGAACTGAGGAATATAGCTAATCTCAAAATTTGGAATTAGCAATAGAGTGGCAAGAGGTTAGAAATGTTGTGTCTTTGAGAAAGGGGTTGTAGGGCAGAAAATAAATACATTGTCCACAAGGACATATAAATCCTTCTGAACTCTGTCAAGGCTGGAAAGTGGAAACTGGACAGTTCTGGCATGGATATTGCAGTAATACAAATATTTCAGTAAGTTTGTTATAGGGTTTGGATTTTTAAGTAAAAACAAACCTATGAGCAGGCATCTAGTAATTTATGCAGCTCATATATTTATATTTTCCCCTCAATATGAAAGCTTTCAAATGTAACCCACTGGTATGTCATCAAATGGCTGACAAGTGTTACACATTGCCCAAAGGTGAGCGGGTTATGTGCTAAGCAGTAGCATTTAACCCTTAAGCTTTTTTGTTCCTGCTATTAATCTTGATTATTCTTAGACCAGATACAACAAGGTATCTAAACATGCATCTTCAGGTTGTGCCAGATTTGCTCACGTAAGGATTTTTTTTTAAATAAAGAATACAAACACCCTTTATTCATTTTCAAATAAAAGGGTTGGCTTCATTGTTTTTGTAAATATAAAAAAAATTTCAGTGTGAAGTCTATCAAGATTTAAAAAAAAAATTCAATTAAAAAATTCAATGTAATTTACATTTGATGAGCAAAGTTCTTCATTTTCTTAATTAATCATGGAAGTTTTAATTTAGAATTTTTATTACCGCTAAGAGCTTGAATCCACTTTACAAAATTTCAAACAAAATTTTCTCATTTTCTCAGTCCCAGTTATTTATAATGATAATGATGACAATAATTATTACAATCATGATGATAGTGATGATAATAACAATGACAATAATGATAATAGTAATGACAAAGATAACGGTAATGACAGTGGTACTGACAATTGTGATAATAATGATGACAATGATAATAGTAATGACAATGGCACTGTCATCATTGTAATTATCATTATCAAAATTGTCAATGATAATTATGAGAGTAATTATTACAATAATAATGACAGTGATAATAATAATTTCAATGACAATAACAATAATGACAATGATTATAATGGTAATAATAATTACAAAGATAATGATAATAATGAAAGTAATGATAATGATAATAACAACAGGAATTTTAACAATGATAACACAAAAATATATCGTAAAAACAAAACTCAAACAAATGGTTTGCATGAAAATAAACAAAATTGAATTAAATTATTTAAGCATCTCCAAAGAATTCAAATTTCTTGTAGAACACCAGAAATAACACAACTCTGACAAACATCAATTATCTTTCATCAAAAGCAAAAATTTTACATCATCGAATGAAATAAAAATTAGACATTCGAGGAGAAACTCTAAGGAAAATAAACCAAATTCTTTTCCCCAGATCCAGCAGGTTGCTTTAACATTTACAAAATGATATCAATTATTTTACTATCAGTATTTTGAGGTATTTGATGCCCATCTTTTCTTCAAACCTTTTTTTTAATATCACCTGTTATACAAGAAATTTCTTACAACTTAAGTTAGCTAAGGTTTACTTACAGCTCTGCATATAATGTACAATTCTAAGTACTCCTGCTTATTGTAGTTGATTGAGAAGTATGTCTTAGAAGACTTGTAATAATGCTGCTTCTGCTTCAGTCAATTTTCAATTAGACGACTGAAGGATTGCTTGAAACAAAATCAAATGAAATTACCAGTTTTGTAGTCCTTGAATTTGATTCCCACTTGTCAAAAAAGCTTCTTGAAGTGACAAGATTAAAAATGTTTGGTAATTTCATCAAAAATCAGCTTACAGTTTTTCTTACAATATGAAGAGTAGTAGGAAAGTCCATGGCCTATCCCAATTCCAAAAATCTGATTATATGCCTAAAAACAATTTTGGTTAGGTTGAGACCTTTTCAG